AGCAAAATAGAAAAAGATCTTGATGCAGCAATTGCGGCGAAAGACTTTCAATTAGCTGAAGACATTAATAAAGAAATGATCAAAAGGTCCTTTGCGACTACTGTAAAAAGTGCAATCGAAGCGCATAACCACATTAAATTGCAGAAGAAAAAAGAGCAACGGAGACGTTTACATAAAAAAGAAAAGCTCCAGTGGTCGTTTAATCAAAAACAAAGATGGGAAACAAAAGGAAACATGTAATAAAATACAAATACATTTTTTTATTTTCATTTTTGTCACCTTATATTACCATTAGTTTTTATGAAAATAAAACAATTATTAAGTATAAAAATATAATTAATGCGAAATTCACTAGCTTTGTACCGATTTTTTTTTCTCTAACGCTATTGATTTTGTCTCCAGTAAAAAAGACATTTTTTACTGGAGAAGAGTCAACATTTAGGAATATAAAATTAAAGATTTTGGGTACACTGGCCAATCCACCCAAAATTTTTTACTCCTAAAAAAGACAAAATTTTAACAACTATAAATACTTTTTTTAACTTAAGCGTTTTAATTTGATGGTGTTTAAATCTGAATTTTTTTTTGTTCCGACACGGCTGTTTCACGTAATGTAAAATTGGGCATTAGGTCAAGAGTTTAGCAAAAACAATTTCCGCATAAAAAGTTTTTTAAAAATTTTGGCATATAAAGTATAAAAGTTCAATAACTTTAAAGTAATAGTTTTTTTTTTCTATAAATGCTTTTTTGTTCTAATAAAAAAAAAATAATATCCTTCCTTGTTAAATAAATCTTGTTACTGTTACTTGTTATACTTAAATCCTTCCTTGTTAAATAAATATTTTCATTAAACGAAATAAAAATAAAAGTTGTAAAAATATTTGGGATCACTTTTCTGTTTTTTGCGTATTTTACGAAAAACCTGTCTTCGGCCAATCAAGATTAGATATTTTAAGCTACATGCTTAATGGTTGAAATTTTACATACTTAACAACGAATATCTACGTTCAAGATTTGTTATACCCACCAAATTATTGAAATTTCAACCTTTTATGCACATGAAAATCAAAAAAAATACTTTCTGTACTTCTAACTAAAACGTCTTCAACCTTGGCAAATTTTGTTGCTTTTAGCAAAAAAAAAAATTGTAGTTACATGCGTAAAATGTATGTTTATATTTTAAAGCAATGACGTAACTTTAAATGCTTCCCAATTCACTATGTAATTAAATTTATGAAAACAGCTTTTTTAGCGAGTCAAATTTTAGTGTATAAATAAAACAAAGTTCGCATTCGCTGTAAATAATGTTAATATCTGATAATATTAATACGCTAATTTAATATTATTAGTCGAATTACGTCATTTTCTAGGCTTTTCTATTTTCAAGTAGTTTCTAGGCTTTTCTATACGCGTTTTTTTTTTTAATTTTACTAACAACGCGTATTACGGGTTGCGTTTTATAATTGGTCTAACTATGTTTATATTACATATTAGTCAACAGAAACATAATTTTTCTGATTATTTTTGCTAAAAAGTACCATTAAAATTTCGAAGTTCTGCCAAGTTCTTCATTTTGCGTGTTTATTTAAAAATCAGAGCCTTGCATTATTATATTGAATGATAAAATATAAAACATTTAGTCGGTGTTCATATTCTTTTTACAGAACGTATTTATCTTTAATATTTCAAAAGTTATGAAAGTTTTAGTAACACCTCCTAAGTGATTATTTTCAAAAAATAACAAGAAGCCGTATGTCCACTCTGAAACAGCCGTGCCGAGTTCTTAGACTTTTTGAATAGGGGGAGGAGGGAGTTAAACATAGATGCAGGTTGCCCGGTTAAGTTTATTTAAAGACTAGACGCTTCAACGAGGTGGGGATCTAGGTAAAGGTTAGTACTAACTCAACCTTCTTTCCAGGATAATATTACATTTGTATGTGTGACGGCGTTTTAACAATTTTGATACTTTGATGTAAATTTTAAATAGATTGTTTAACTTGTTTATGCTCACTGGTCTTTGACGCTGAATTGCCTAAACTAAGTTTAAAGCTTATAGTATAAGAAATATTTTAGTTTACAACGTGTATATTTTAGCAAATATACACTATTACACTTAATTAAATTCAATTATGTAAATTTACATGATATTTAATTTGGATATATAAAATTTTAACTATTACATACTCATTTACAATGTTATTAGCATAGATGCAAGTTACGAAAAAATTAATTTGATACTTTAATAAAATGAATTAATATACTTACTTAATATACCACGTAAGACTTTAGGAAGGTATTGCATATCCAAAAGATTGCCTAATTTTTACAAATTATTTAGCAAATCAACTAATAAAAAAAATGATTTTAAAATTTTAGAAAATATTATTTAACAAATATATAAATTTATAAATATGCTTTTCACCATCAAATGTCAAAACAAAACTTTATTTATTAGATGAAAACAAACCATCTGGAATCGGTAACGTTTCTCTTTTTATTTAAAAAAAATGTAATTTTGCTATTAGCTTACCACTTAGTTCATCAAAGTATACAACACTGGGACTACCCACGCAACTATGGAAACAAACATTACTAAGTCCCAAAAAGGGATCAAAATAGTTATCGACCTATCGTCATCATCCGTTATTTGTAAAGTAATGCAAAAAACTAATAAAATAGATAAACTAATAAAAGATGACATAACAAATTACTTAAGTTAATTGCTAAAGAACAACATGGATTCACTACAGATAAATCAGTTATTACAAATTTGCTAGAATCAATAGATGCGATAACTAATTGTTTAAACTGTATTTTATGCTTTAGTGGTTTATCTTGACTTTGCTATAGCGTTTGATAGATTATGTTATAAATTATTGATTGCTAAAGTAAAAACTTACGGTTTCGCCAAATATTTACAAGTTGGCTACACAACTTTCTCTCAAACAGGCAGCAATTGATTTACCTTAATTATTTCACGGTACCTGCAAGCTATTTGCTGATGACAGTTAATTGTCGTAATCAAAAATCAAAAGGATTGAGAAATATTGCAAGATGATCTCAACAAACTAGTCAAATGAACAAAAATTGGAGCATGAAATTAAATTAAGAAAAATGTCAAGTTATAAAAGTTTACAGTATCAAATCAAAAGTTATTTGAAATAACAATTCAAGCTACCCAACTATATATAACTACCCACAATGGAATAATCACCAAGTTAAAAAAAAATACGACATAGGAACGGGAACCTAGGCATCAACTTAAAGTAATAACCTAAAATGGAAAGACCACATCACAATGATAACCAAAAAAGTACACTCAAAATATGATACATAAAAACGGACATTTAAATTCTGGTCTATTTTCTCATTTTATTAAATATATCAAACATTTTTTTATCTATGCGCTTGCTCTATCTTACGCCCTTGCTTAGTATTGAGCTTACGCCCTTGCTTAGTATTGATCAACAACCGCAGCTCTTATCCTGTGTAACAGTACTTGATTTTTGTAAAAAAAAATATTATTTTCTTTACAAAAATCATAACTTTTATTTTTTTCAACAGCCTGTAGCCATGAGTTACAAGCATTAGACAAAAGTGTTTGTACCTTCGTACGTTTTGAAAAATTTGCGAAATCACCATGCGTGGGTTACAGTAAATAAAAAACCTATGAATATAACGTACTAAGTACAGTAAGAACAGACCTTCTTAACACCATTACTCCAAGAAACTAAAGTAGTGCCTTCCAAATACATGAATTTATCCGGGTTTTTATAGAAAATAATTTCAATTTCCGAATTCCAAGTACAGGAATTTATCACATTTAAAAAAAAAAAAAATTTTTTGCCATTATATTTAACCGATGGACTAGACCCTAACCTGACCTGTGTCAGCTGTGATTTTAGTCTTGTTAAACTAACACCTACCAAAGCGTCAGCTGGGGATTTTAAGTATTACAAACAAATACGATACACCGGGTTCTATTCCAAAGTCTTTACTTTGACTATCTAATGAAAGTATGACATTTTGAAAATAACCAGCCTTAAAAACACACCACAAATAAACCCAGAATTTAGAAACGAATTTCTGCTATAGTAACCGATATACAAGTAAAACAGCTTCGGAAAAAGTACAAAAGATAGCAAAATAAAAAATAAAAAACTATTTTCTATCAAATAAGATGTTTTAAGTAACTCTAAAATTAGCTAGATTTTTACATGTTAATCTGTAATAACAAACGCAATACGCAAAAAAAATAAAAAATAAATAAAGGTATCGAAGTTAATATTTTATGGCTCAGTTGCTTAAAGCCTTTCCCAAACTACCTTCCGGGGGTTGCGTGGATCCAGTATTCAAGCTGTCAGTGGTAGACACATGTGAGTTAAGTTAAAAAAAAATTTAATGGTTGTATTATAAATCTTTGTACTGTAATGATTCTATAGTTCTTTTAAATGAAGTCAGTGATTAATCAGCAAATAGATTTATTTTTAAATAAAATATTGTTGTTATATTTTGTTTTTACTTCTTTTTTATTTATTGTTATAAAGTTGTTTATTCTAAATCCACTTTTTCCCACATCATAGTTCAGAAATAGGTTCTGTGTTGGTCAATCGGCCTCAATTTTAGGGTCAACGCTTTTAATCGTCCACAGCAGTATCAAAAACGAGCATTAAAAGTTGTAGTAGTAAAAATAATAATAATAAATAATAATAAAAGTGGTAGTAGTAACAACAATAACAATACAATGATAACAATAAAAATAATAATATTAATAAAATGATCAAAATAAAATTAATTACAATAATCTCAACAAAATAATAGTAATCTAGTATTAATCACAATCACACACACACACATATATAGACACATACAAATACATATATACAAACACACATACACACTTTTTTTTTTTTTTTTCATCATCTTCGCTTCCAACAAGGCTGCAAGCAACCACTAATTAGTGTTGGAAGTTACTCGAAGAGAAAAGATCAAGATTTTAGAGCAGGATAACGATTGACTTACATTCATAATACATATAAACACATATACTTATATCTCCCTGTATTGCATACATTATACAATACTGTATACAATACATATACTGTATTGTATACAATAAGGTAAACAGAGATAGAAACCAAAAAAGTTTTTTGGATAACCACAAAGTGAATGGGACAGCTGATAAACCAGTGAAACCTTTTTTCTATCTAGTATGACTTTGATAACATTTTAATTTTGACGTGACATTACCTATTGAAGTAAATCACGT